CCAGCTGCTCCATCGCTCCATTGTCTCTCTCTCTCTCTCTCTCTCTCTCTCTCTCTGTCTAGAGTGCCCAGCTGCTCCATCGCTCCATTGTCTCTTCCTCCATCTCTGGCGTCACTGTTTCTCTGGCTGGCAGGTTTTAATAAAGTCACTTGTTTTTGTTGTTGTTAAGTGCCATCGAGTTGATTCCGACTCGTAGTGACCCTGTACAGGGTTTCCGAGGCTGTAAATCTTTGTTGTTGTTGTTTAGTGCTGTAGAGTCGATTCCGACCCATACTGAGGCTGTAAATCTTTACGGGAGCAGAAAGCCTCATCTTTCTCCCGCGGAACAGCTGGTAGTGTCAAACTGCTGACCTTGAGGTTTGCAGCCTGATTCGTAACTACTACACTACCAGAGCTCCTTCACTTGTTGTTGTTAAGTACAGTGGAGTTGGTTCTGACTCACAGTGACCCTACACAGGGTTTCCAAGGCTGTAAATCTTTATGCCTCATCTTTCTCCTGTGGAACCGCTGGTAGTTTCGAACTGCTGACCTTGAGGTTAGCAGCCCGATTTGTAATCACTATGCTACTAGAGCTCCTTCCTTCACTCATTACTGGGGTCCATATATGAAATAGGAGTCCTGGTGTGGCGCTGCAGGATAATGTGGTGGACTGTAAGGTCAGTTTGAGCCGCAAGGTCAGTGGTTCAAACACACCAGCCGCTCCTCGGAAACCCTATACAGGGTCGCTATGGGTCAGCACTGACGGCAATTAACAACACGTGACTTTTCCATTGATGCAACCCTAGCCCCCAGCACAGAGCCCACCAAGAGGCAAAAAAACAAAATAATCAAATCCACTGACATTAAATTCATTCGGCTCACAGCGACCCTACCTTCAAATTCTGCTGAGTCTGTTCTGACTTAAGGACTCTATACAGGATTTCCGACACTGTCAATTTTCAGAACTGACAACCTCATCTTTCTCCCTCCATTTGGCTGGTGGGTTTGAAGTACTGACCTTGGAGTTAGCAGCCCAATCTCTAATCCATTAGCCAGCCACCAGGGCTTACAATAACTACTTAATGCCTCAGTAATAAATAAACATTTTTAGTGCCAGCCATACCCTTAGGACAGTGCGTGGCATGGCCTGAGTGCTCTGTGAGATACAGTAAATAATATCTGTGAGATATTAATAAATCAACCACGTGGTCCTTTTTTGTGCTTTTGATAGGACAGTTGAAAATCTGGTGTCAGAAGCTAAGTGGAGGGATTAGGTAAGAGCTGGTAAAGTTATAAGGGTCTGGAACTAGGCGCCACACAGAAGCCATGAATCCCGGTCCTGCCCCTGTGCACGGTGGCCTGGGTTCTGGCCCTTTGCCGTGTTTCTTCACCTGTAAACATGGACCTCACCAGGGTTACTGGGAGGGATGCTGCAGGTCTTTGCAGTAGGATGGTGTCCCACCTCCTGGGGAGACCCCTTGGGTTTTCCCTCAGTCCTGGGATGCTGATTCAGACAAGTCAAGCAGGGACCAGAAGACCTTAAGAATTAAGATCCCGCCAGTTAAGCACAAATCCTCACCACTGGACCAATTTAATAACATCAATATCAATGGAGAAAAGATTAAAGTTGTCAAAGACTTCATTTTGCTCCAATGAACCATCAACACTCATGGAAGCAGCAGTCAAGAAATCAAATAATGTATTGCATTAGGCAAATCTGCTGCACAAGACCTCTTTAAGTGTTGAAGCGCAAAGGTGTCAGTTTGGGGAGGACTAAGGTGTACCTGACCCAAGCCATAGTATTTTCAATAACCTCATATGCATGCGAAAGCTGGACAATGAATAAAAACCGTCGAATTGATGCATTAGAGTTATGGTGTTGGAGGAAAATATTAAAAGTACCACGGGCTGCCCAAACAATAAACAAATCTGTGTTGAAAGTACAGCCAGAATGCTCCTTAGAAACCAGGAGGGCCGGATTTCATCTTTCCTACTTGGGACATATTATCACAAGGGACCAGACCCTAGAGAAGGATATCATGCTTGGTAAAGTAGAGGTTCAGCAAAAAAGAGGAAGACCTCAGTGAGATGGATTGGCACAGTGGACACAGCAATGGGCTCAAGTGTAGCAATGATTGTGAGGTTGGTGAGGTACCCAACAACAAAACACAAACACAAAGCAAAAAAAAGTCACAGATGTAGTTGTGACAATAGGGTCATTACTTCTTGAGGCTGTCTAGTTCTGGGATTGTCTCAAGGTTGCCTTTGCTCTCCACAGGCTGTGGTTTGGAGGTTTGTGGGGATGGTGGTACATTTATACCGATGGGGGTCACAGGCATGCGAAGGTGGGGCCTGACCACCTCACCTAGTCACCAGGGACATTCCTTAAGGGAAGAGGCCTGTTTGTGCGCAACATCCCTTCAACTACCACGCAGGAGTTTCTGCCCATGTGAACATTCCGTGAATTTCCAGGAACGCAGCTGCACTTTTAAGGTGAGGGAATCTGGTCCTACTTTGTCGGGAAATTTTCCACCTCAGAAAACCACGTCTCTGACCACAGTGTTGGGCATCCACCGCTTCCATCTGGAGCTGCCATAGTCCCTGATGAGAGTTCGAGCTCACGTGTGCATGGGTAGCACCAGGCTGTGGGCACTGAATCTGGAAGACGTGTGTGCTCAAGACGTGTACCCTCCAGCCCTGGGGCATTTGTGCCCCGCCTTTATAGGTGGAAATAAAGCTTTTTATGGTGAATTCCTTTTCTTTCTTGCACATAATTACATTTGGGGCTTTACTTTATCCATCCCACTGGCTTGTCACACATTCTGTGCACCAGCTGTGGGGTAGGTAGTACATAGGAACGTAAAGTTGCTCGAAGGCCTTATTTCTTACTTTTTATTGTGATTTGGGTGAAGGTTTATAGAGCACATTGGTTTTCTGTTTAATGACTCAGACACATTTTGTTTCATGACCAGGGCTGTGGTCCCCATAATGGGACAGTACTTTCTCAAGTTTTCCCTGTTTGCATTCCTCCTTCCTAATCCGTCTTCTGGGCTTTCTCTGGACAAATGCTGCCCTCTGTTGTTTTAATGTTGTGGTCGAGTTGGTCCCAATTCATAAAGGACCCTGTATAGGGTTCCTGAGGAGCAAGGAGCTGGTGGGGGTGAACCTTGTGGTTTGCAATCTTGTGATCCTACAGCGCCATCCCAGGGCCCCACTGTTTCTAACAGAAGTTACTTCTCTTGTTAGCTAGATGGGAAACTGAGGCCAGGAGAGAGAGTTGGGACCAAGCCCCATCCACCCATCCTCCCTGCTCCAGGAAACAGCTACGTGGGGACTCAGGGAGGTCTGAGTTCAAATCTCAACCCTCAGGACTCCACCATCTCCTCCTCTCAGGTGGGGACAGGAGGGAATGAGACCTAACATATGCCCAGCTAAGCACACAGGTGGCCTTTCCCTGCCCCCTGAGGAATGCAGACCAAGCACAGCAGCCGAAGGGTTAACATTAGCAAAGTTTTACTTCATTTTTTTTCTGCTCATAAAAGGACTCTGAAAAAGCCGATATGCAAGCAGCTAGCACAGCTGTTGTCTGAAGGCAACATCTCTAGGACAAGAGGCACCGCTCAGTCTCCCGCAGGCCAGGCGTGAGGGCAGGAGGGGCTGGACTTGTGGAGGAGGCCGAAATAAACGTCGGATTCTCTGTTGTCCAGCTGGCAGCCCCGGCTGGGAACCCAGGCGCCTACGGCAATCTGACAGCTGGGAACCCCCAAGGCAGCCAAGTGTGGGTACACTGGGCATGTTGCCAGCTTAGGGGCCAAGTGTGGGTACACTGGGCATGTTGCCAGCTTAGGGGCCCTCAACCAGCACTCTTTCCACACCAGCTCCAAGGAGAACCAAGCTCCTGGCTGGGCTGGTTGGGCCTGCCTGGGCCTTAGGTGTCTTAGTAGACAAAAGCTACTTCTCCACCCCAGCAGCCACCACACCAAGACGGCTTTCTGGCATTTTGTCTCATGTAGTGTTGGGGGGTCAGACCTAGCTCCCCGGGACCCTGAGGCTGGCAGTGAGGGGTGGCAGCAGGAGTGAATAAACCAGTAAGCACAGCACACAGTGGGTTTACAGTAAGCAGGTACGCACAGGCTTAACTGTGCTGGCTTACTCGTCTGTAGTGAACAATTTCACTACATCAAAGAGGTGAAACAATTCACTTAGTGTTTACTGGGTAATCCGTCCCTGGATGGGTCACCACTGTGTGACAAAGGGGGCCGCTGACTCCTACAGGCCTGGGCTGTCTGTCCATCTCCCTTTCTTTCCGGAGCCTGCCCCCAACAGGGTGGGGGGAGCCTGGTGCCTGCAGCCATGGCTCTGTAGTGTACGTGTACATGTGTGCGTGTGTGTGAAGACAGCTACCCAAACCAGGGCCCTACTCCCAATGGGATGGCCCGAGGGTACAGGCAGGCCAGGCTGGACCCAGGCTCCAGTGTGGATGTAGGCGGATGGGGGGATGTTAAGGAATAATGGCGTAGAAGGTGGGTGAGGGTAGGCACACGAAGAGTGTATGGGCAGGCAGGCGGGCGGATGGGTGAGTGGGCACCCCGACCCTTCAGAAAGAGAAGCAGCGCTCCTTGGGGTGGCCCACACGGTCCAGGTTGGGCAGACAGGCGTACTGGATCATGGGAGGGGGGCCACACATCAGCACAAGGGGCTCTTCCTCCGGGGCTGGAAGGTGGTCTCGGATCATCTCCTCGTTCACAAAGCCCTGGCTATAGTCCCAGCCTGTGGACAGGAGACAAAGTGAACTCAGGTGGCAGCCATGGGATCGACCTGTTGGCCACCTGGTCACCAGCCCTGCTCCCAAGTTGGCTTTACCCACTGAGCTCTGCAATGAGACACCAGGATCTAAACCCTCCCTAGCTCCCCTCCCACACTTCACAAAGCCTTCCGTTTGGTCTCAGGTAGATGAGTGGGCAGGGATTGTTGGTCTCATTTTACAGATGCGGAAACGAGAGTTGTTTGGGGTTACATGGAACAAGGACACAGCTGACAGCCGAATGCAGGCACCTTGGCATTCAGTTTACACGATCATATGAGTCATCAGACCACTGGGCCACGGAAGGGGCCCAGAGAGGGTCCAAGTGATTGCTGAGAACACTTGCCAGCGAGGCCGTTTTGGGTGGCTCTTCAGTGTTTATATGGGAGAAGTGATATCCAAGGCCTGAAGGACACACAGCAGGCCATGCAGCCAACGCCTCTCAGCTCACCCTGTACGGAGCAGTTCAAGCGCCTCTAGCTCTGAGCAGCCCAGAGAATCTGCCTTAGCTGTCGTTTGCAACCCTTGACAGCGACAAGTCCATGGTGAGGCGAAAGTTGGCCGACACCGAGGGTCCTTGCCTAGATGGGCAACATTCACCACATCCCACCGTGCCCTCTCATGGGGGCTCCAGGGGTGGGGTCCGCCAAGATGGTCTGCTGTATTGAGCAATGGAGGTCCTCTTTATTTCACAGATACCGTGAGTTCAGTAACTGCCTTCTCTCCTTTTTCACCTTGGCTGCTGGGAAGCTCAGTGCAATGTGTGTGGTCCATCTCTAGCAAGTAAGCAGCACAAAAGACCTTCCTGGTGATGTTTTCTGGGCCCACCTTTGGTTTTCTTCCCTCCCACTATCCAGTTTTGGTGCTCTGGCTCACGGAAGAATGAGTCTTGGTAAGCAGTCTAAATTCCCTTTGGGGGCAAATCAGGGCAGAGAGGCTTTCATACTTGGGTTAACAGACCTGAATGTGCTTTGTAAAATGATGCACAGGAATACAAGACACACCTAGATTTTACAAGGCGTGTTTGGTACATTGTATTTTTTTTCAGGAATGTACCAAAGTGGCTTTCCCACATGCTCAGCTCAAGCGCCCTCCCTATTGCTTCACACATCTAGAATTTCTGCTTGTACCTAGTGCTAGGGAATGCCTTGACCTCTCCTGACGTGTGGGTCAGGAGAGTAACAAATGGTAAGTTCTGGTGGCACTGTACCTTAAGCACAGTGCTGCCAAACACAAGTCTGTGGCTCAAACCCACCAGCTGCTCCGCAGAAGAAACATGAGACTGTCAGCTCCCATAAAGGTTCAGTCTCAGAAACGCTACACAGTGTTGTTACTTTGAGTGCAGACCGTACCTTTCACCAGCCTCCTAACTAATAGGAAAACGGTCAGCAACCTTGGTCTTGGCGTTGCTTCACACCACCACTAGGGGTCAGTGTTGGCACCCCTCCTGCTCAGCCAGAACCATCCAGTGGCAACCAGGTAGGGCAGGGGCCTCAGGCCCCAAGGGATCTTGTCATCATGGTTCATTATCACACCCGACCACACTTCAAGTGCAGTCAGAGTAGAGGGAGACTATATCTTATTTCCTCCTTTTGATGCAAACATGTTTTTCTTCACTAAAGAAAAACAACAGCTCTAATTACGAGCCAGCGCCCCCGCCCACCCCATCCTGGCTCGGGACAAGGTACCCCTGCATCAAACCACTGGTTCTCATGCTCCTTAATTTATTCACTAACCCACTTCCTGCCTGCTCAAAGTCTCAACCAGAGGCAGGGTTAGCTTCCTGGACACTTAGCCCAATGCTCACAGTAGGCGCCTGCGAGCTCAGATGGCTGGCCAAGCAAGGCCAGAGGCCTGGGGACATAGCTGTCCCTTCCAAGGGTGCCCAGGCCACAGCTGGGTCAACAACGGAGAGCAGCTCCTCCCTCAGGGGTAGGCCCAGCTGAGGAGACTTGTTTTCAAGGGGCAGCAGAGCGTGGTGGGGACACAGCTCCCACATCAGCCCCTAGCAGGGGAACTGCAGAGGGTGAGGGCAGGCGTGGGCCCACAGTGCTTCGAAATGTCCAGCTTCCATCACTGAAAAACTTCGCAGGAAAACCCAGGTCCCCAGATTTCCTGGTCACACAGCCCAGCGAGATTGCCCCTCAGTCCGGGGCAGTGGCTCCCCAATTCACTACAGTCTCCACCGGCCCCACTGGCTCCCCAATTTGCTACAGGTCACCTGGCAGGACGCCTGCACCGCTGCTTTCCTTGTGGAGAAACTAAGACCCTGGTACCCCTGTCTCTTCCTAAAGCAGAGGAGGAAGGAGAGCTTGGCTCCCCAAAGACACCCTCGATTTAAGTTCACCACCTCCTCCAGCGGAGTCAGATATCCTCACCCACTGTGTGACGTGGGCACAGAACTTAACGCCCCGGGATGGGTGGAATGAGGGTGTCATTGGGTCTTTCCAGCCCCCCTCCCCCGGATGAGGATGGGAGAAGCCATGGTAAGGTGCCCTGTTGTTGGTAAGTGCCGTCGAGTTGGTTCTGACTCACAGCGATGCTGTGTAGGACTTCCCAGGAGCCGCTGGGGAGTTAGTTAAACTGCTGCCCTTGCATTCAAACTGACCTTGCAGTCTAATGCTTATCCGACAGCACCACACCAGGACACCTTTGGTGACAAAGGAGGCTAGGTGGCACAGTGGTAAAGCACTCGGCTGCTAACTAAAAGGTCATCTGTTCAAACCCATGAGCCACTCCTTGGGAGAAAAGACGCGGTGATCCCCTCCTATGAAGATGACAGTGAAGGGGACCTGTGGGCATTCTATTCAGTGCTGTCGGGTCACTACGAGTCCGACTCAGCGAACGGCACATCTACAGAAGGGTATAAACTATAAGAAAAAAACAAAATGGCCCCCACACTCTTCAGAACTGTTGCTGAAGACCCTGCCCTGGAGTGAGCCTCAGCCGGAGGAGGGAACGCTAGGCCTTCTTTGCCCACTGGGGGCGCTATGTGGGTCCTGGAGGCAGAAGAGTCAGGGAGGAGTTTGAGGCCTGGAGCTGGTGTTTTCATGCTGCGTGTCAGAGGGCACTCACTTGCCTCTCTGAGTCCTTGCTCCTCATCCTTCTCTGCCCAGTATGAAGTGGTGTGTGGGCTAGAGGGCACAGGACCTGCTGTGAAGTGAATTGTGTCCCCCAGGAAAATGTTTACAAACCCTAACCTCGATACCTGTGGTTGTATAACCCCATCTGGAACTGGGCTGTCCTTCTTATGTTGTTGTTGTTGTTGTTAAGTGCCATCCTTCTTATGAGTGAGGCAGAATTTGTGTGTTGTTTCTAAACTGTGAGAAAATAAATGTCTGAGCTGGTTCTGACTCGTAACGACCCTGTCAAGGGTTCCCAAGGAGCAGTTGCTGAGTCTGAACCGCCAAGCTTGCAGTTCAAACCCACCTCGAAGTCCAGCGCATGATCCTGCAACACCATGCCAGGATTAACGTGGATATGCTTTAAAGCAATCTCTTCTGAAATACAAGAGATTAAAAACCAGAAGAACTAGAGGGTGCCCATCTGCCACTACCAACTGCTCTGATAGAGATGACATTACAAGGTCCCTAGGTCAAGTGGCAGAATATGTGGGTCAAAACTCAAAATTATATTTTGAAAAAGACCACGCTCACTGGTCAGAAAGAGATTTGGAGGGCCCTGAGACGGTGGCCCCTGACCATCCTTCAGGTCTGGAAAGGAAGTCAATCTTGGGGCTCACCCAACTTACAGCCAAGCAGTAGCTAGGTCTATGTTGTTGTTGTTGTTAGGTGCCAGTGAGTCGGTTCTGACCCACAGTGACCCTGTGCAGGGTTTCCGAGGAGAGGCTGTTGAGCTTGCACCACCGACCTTGTAGATGAAATGGCTTTGCAGTCTGGCGCATTAATCCACAGCGCCACGGGATAACAACACTAGTAAGGTAGGGTCACCATGTAAACCTTCACTCAAACAAACAAGCAGCAGAGATGCCTGCCACACGAAGGTCACCCAGAAGCAGAAGGTCACCGGAGACAAGGACCTTCCCCCAGAGCCCACAGAAAGACAGAGCCTTTCCCAAGAGCCAATGTCCGAAACGGAGTCCTGGTGGGGCGCTGTAGGATAAGCACTGGACTGCTAAGTCAGGGGTTCAAACCTACCAGCTGCTCCTTGGAAACGTTATGGTCACTACGAGTTGGAACTGACTCGACAACACTTACCAATACCAGCAGCAGCCTCCCCAACAGTGAGAAAATGCATTTTGTCACAGCTACCTTCTGGTGGCTTTTCTGTTTGCAGCTCTAGAGGACTGAGCTGAGGTAGCACCTATGGAGAACGTGTCTACACCAGTCTCTTCAGACACAGAGTGCAGACTGAGTGAGCAGAGGGGACAGTGAAGTCCCCACCAGGAGTTTTCACTAAGGAATCAAGAAAACAAGGACTGAAAGGAGACAAGGACCTTCCCCCAGAGCCAACCACCAGAGAAAACTTTCCCTTAGACCTGGCACCCTGAATTCGGACGTCTAGCCTCCTAAAGTGTAAGAAAATAAATATCTGTTTGTCAAAACCGTGCCCCTGTGGTCTTTCTGTTACAAAACCCACTGCCATCATCTTGAGTCTGAAACGGTAAATCTTTATGTGAGCGGACAGCCTAGTCTTTCTCCCAAGGAGAGGCTGGTGGGTTTGAACTGCCAACCTTGGGGTTAGTAGCCTAACACCTAACCCACCCGGGCTCCTCTGATTTCTATGCCAGCAGTACTTGGCTGAGTCCCTTTTCACAAAGCCCTGGTGAGACCATGGACAAAAGGCTCAGCACGAGGGGGCCGGGTTTAGAGCCTCCCACCCCAGCCCCCTTCCCCAGCTGGGGTTGCCCCTGCTCACCTTCTGGGGCTTTGTCCACCGTGTACCAGAGCTTGAAGCGGGCGGAATGTTCGTTCCTCAGCTCCTCGATCTCGCTTCTTAGCAAGATGTCCTTCTCGGTCTGTGGGAGGGCAGAACTGAGCGGTCAGGAGTGTGGGAGGCAGGGCCTGGACTGAAAACACTCAACAGGGGCCACACACTCGGCAGAGCTACCAGGAAAGGGGTCTGGCAAAGCCCATCCCTAACCCAAAACACCCAAACTCACTGCTACATGGTCAATTCTGACTCACAGTGACCCTATAGGGTAGAGCAGATCAAGAACAGCACCATAGTAGGGCTTCTGAAACGGAATCCTGACAGAAGAGCCCACCCTGAGGTCAGCCACCCAGCGCATAAACCACTGCACCGCACCCCCTGGGCTCCCCAGAGTCCTGAGAAGGCCTTTTCCTCCTCTCACAGCATTATTTACAATGGCCCCCAAAAAAGGGGACAACGGTCCTTTCATGGCCCAACCTAGAGGCTAAGAGGCGGTCTGCCCAGTGACGTCACTATAAATCTATCAGTAAACTCGTCTTTAGGATATGGGGGAATGCGCAGTCAGATGCAGATGGGAAAAAGCAAAGCGGAAAACTGCCTGCGGCTAAGCTCCTACGGAAAGCAGAGGGAAAAGGCCTGAATTAGGCCAAAACGTGAATCGTGGTTCTTCCTGTCACGGTTAGGAGCCCCCATGTGCACAGAGCAGAATGGCTCCAGCGGGTTTTCAAGACCTTCGGAAGCCCATCATCATAACATGTCTTCTGAGATGCCTCTGGGTGGGTTCGAACCCACCAACTCCTAACTGTGCCCCCTAGGAAGTGCTGATTATTCTTTGTTGTTGTTACTAAGCACCATCCAGTCAGTTCTAACTCATAGCAACCCTGTAAAGGGTCCAGAGCTTCCACGTGGACCACCCCACTGCCCTGGCTAAGAGGCCAATAGTTTCAGCAGTGTCTGTCTAGTGAGGGGTCCAGAAACGTCCCTAATACTTGAACCCAAACCACCAAGGCCTGTCCCAATTAGCTCCGAATTTCTGGCTCTTTCATCCTACCCCAGAACTGGTCAAGTCCACCTCTGCTGGCCTTGGGCACCTTCCTGCACTGCTTGGGGGTAGGGAGGGCAAGGCACCCCTACTGCCCACAAGCCTTCTCTTTCTCCCACCGGAGCCCTATCTTGAGGGGGCCTCCCATATCCAAACCACAGGCAACCTCACCACCCCGGGCTGTTTCCTCACATATGGACAAAGCAGATCTCAGGGCTTCTCTGGAATGGGACGCCCCTTTATGAGTCCACATAGTCACTGTCACAGAATACCGACCCTGGAAAGACCTAGGCGCCACCCTCGCTTGATTGATCCCTCTACAGAGCCCAGGCCCAGAAAGGGAAGGCCCAGGAAGACAAGCAGCAAGTGTAGGGAGAATTCATGAACTCAGAAGTCAGAGACCAGGGTTCAAGTCTTGCCCCACACTCGCCGTTTGTCCTCAGTCGCTCACCTGTACAACAGGTCCCACCCTCCCAGACAACTTATTTCCCTGCCAGGTTCCAAACTTAGCTCATGGACAGACAGGTAGTGGGGCTTTCAGAGGTGGGTGTCCCAGGTGCCTCCCTCCCTGAGCACTCCACTCTGGTCAGACATCTGGAGCCACACCTGGCCCAGAACGCCCCTCACACCCCAGCATCTCAAGTGACTCAGCAGAGCCAGGCCCCTCGGCACCTCTGCACCCACTGACCTGGTTGGCAAAGAGCAGGTGGCATACGGTGTGGTCGTTCGGGTCCTTCAAGATGGCACGGATAATCTGCAGCATTGGGGTGATGCCTGAAAAGCCCCCGCCCCCAGGCAGCGAGTAAGTATGTGTCCAGGACACAGGCCCAGGTGCCGGGCCCCGACCAGTTCCAACTCACAGCAACTCTGTGTAGGGTTTCTGAGGAGCAGCTTGGTGGGTCTGAAATGCTATTTTATGGTTAGCAGTCCAGTGCTTATCCTACAGCGCCACACCAAGAGTTCCAGAATAGATTGTTCTTGTTGTCGTTGTACAGCGCTGTAAAATTAATTCTGACTCAGCAAGCCTAGGTAGGGTTTCTAAGGAGTTGCTGCTGGGTTTGAACCACCAACCTTAGAGTTAGCAGTCCAGTGCTTATCCGACAGTGCCACACCAGGACTCCAAACAGGGCTACTGTTGTTTTGGTTAAGTGCCACTGAGCCCTACACAAACTCATAGCAACTGTGTGTAGGGCTTCCGAGGGGCGGCTAGTGGGTTTGAACCGCCAATCTTGTGGTTCACAGTCCAGTGCTGAGCCTACAGCAGGACTCCTTCGATGGCTCACAGTCACATGTCATCTGTGCCTAATCCAAGCCACCCAGGGAATGGGTGTGTGGCGGGTCCCACTTACCTGTTCCTCCTGCAATCATGCCCACAGACTTGGCCGTGTGGATGACAGGGGGGGATTTCTTGTCTGGGCGGATGGCGAACTTTCCTGGGAACAGAGATGGGGTGAGGTCTTATCTCAAATGCACTTGCTTGGGGGCCAGACAGACTGAAGGGCTGCTCCTCTGACAGGGTCTGAGGCAGGGTGCCCATCATACAGTCCAGTCATTTAGGGGGCATGAGAGGGTGCGATCCAGGGTCTCAAACTCCAGTGGCCGACGGAACGTAAGGAGCGGTTCCTCGCTGCCATTTCAGCAGCAGTAACTCTGAACTGAGTGGGCCTTCCAGATTGGTCTCAACTTGTGTGTGACCCCCAAGGACAATCAGTTTAAAAGCCCTGTTCTATGCCCAGGACCGCTGGGGAGACTGAGGCCCCAGGGTGAAAGCAGCTTCCCCAGCAAGTCACTCTCCAGATTAACAGCGGTCAGGACTCCCAGCCCAGTGCTCGCCCACCCAGGGGAATTCCAACCCCAGTCACCTTTGCCCTGGTAGACCAGCAGCCCATTGGGGCCCCGGAACTCAATGGTGTCTCCGATCTTCATGTTTTCTAGGTACTGGGACATTTTCCCTCCAGCTGGAAACTTGGGGTGGCTGTCTTTGAAGTAAACCTGCAAAACAGACTCTCAGTCTTCCGTTTCTGGGGTTCTTTGGTGGCTGTGTGAAGCCTCCCCCTTGGCCCCATCCACCCATGAAAACATCCCTTTCCCAAGCAGAATCCCCTTAGAAGGAACCAAACATCAGCTCGGAATAGAAGAGCAACAGATGGAGGCCACCCCGTCCTGCCAGAGGCCCTGGGAAGCCCGCTTATCCCTGTCCTCCTGGTGGATTTGCTTTGTGATGTCCTAAAAACATCACTGTCTCCAGGAAGCTCTGGAATTAATTCCTTTGCCCTTTGGGATTTCTGCTGTGGGAAGAGGAACATGCACCGCCCTACCAATTACAGAGGGCCAGGGAAGCCTTCCCAGAGGCATTTGGGTTGGGCCCTGCAAGGCCTGATGGGCAGAGAGGGATGTTCCCGAGGCTGGGAGGCCTACAGGAGCCTGGGGACTAGGGGGAGGGAGAGTGGTGTGTTGTGGCTCTGGCACAGGGGATGGAAGAGGTGACAAAGCACACTGTCCCCACCCTACATGCCTAGAATCTGAACTCTCTCCAGGAGCCCAGGGGGCCAGCGAGCCCAAGCTAGGAGGGCCTGGTTGTTTGTGTTTCACTCCTTCCTTGAATCCAGCATCTCCTGCCAGACTTCAGTGTGACACACGCTCTGACCTGAACCACCTCCTTTTGTTGGAGGCATAGTCCCAAACCTTATCGTGCCTCCAAGGCCCTGCTGGACCTGGCCCCTTTGTGCCCTGGCCACTGCAATCCCTGAACCTCCCCGGACCTCAGGACCTTTGCACATGGAAAGTCCTTTCCCTCCCTCTTCACCACCAAGTCTTGTCTGCGCTGCACCTGCTCTGGGAAGCTGTTCTCATCTTTTCTCCCCACAAGCCCAGAGCTGTACTGTGTGCACTTCCCCTAAGCACTGCCCTGTGCTGTCTGTCCCCAGCCTGTGTCTAAATGAGACCCATCTAAAAAACCCAGGACAGACATAGGATCAGCTCCCAACCTCGAAGGCTGGCCAGAGCCCAGGCAGGAACTGGCAAGTCAGGCCCTGAGAGCTATGGCCCAACGGGAGTCTCTGCCTCCGACCCTCCACCCAAGAAGGACAACTGAGAGGCCCCAGGGGCCTGTGACGTGCAGGAAAGCAAGGGCAGCAGGGCCGTTATGAGAGTCCGGGACAGCTGCTGAAAAACTCAGTTCTCATTTCTGTGAACATATAGCCTGGACCACAATCATTCTGCCCCTGACTTTCACCCTCAGCACAACGCTTCCTGGAGATCCTGGCCAGCTGCTCTGGATCCCCGGTTCTTCCAGCTGTATTTTCTCTCCATGGCGTGTGAGCATGCATCCTCATCTTCATGGTGAACTCCCGACAACGCCATAGTGCTGGTGGTGATGTACACTCCCACCCGCAGGGCCAGGGGCTCCTGCCGCTCTGCGCCCATCATGACACCGAAGCATTGGCCCTGGGCCAAGGGCTAATTAGGAAGGGTCTCTGTACATACCTATGCACAAGAACCCTACCTCTTCTCTCCTGTGGATGACCACCCTTGTTTGCAGACAGCAGCCCACCCCTAGCCACAGTCCACCCCATGTTCGTGGGTGAACTATGATTGGCCAAACACAAAGAAACCAGGCCAGCAGGAGGGACATGGGCCCCGAGTGGGCCTTCGCTGTGACCATGCCCCTGATACCCCCTCACCTTGATGACCAGGTCCACAAAGCCTTTGTCGTCATCGCTGGAGACAGGCGTGTAGGGCCGGACTACCAGGTTGCCATCGATTCGAGTTGAGAGGTAGATGTGCTGACCTGTAGCAGGACGGGCAAGGTGACTCTGGACCACCCGCCATCCCTGCAGCTGGTCCCTGGGGCTGGTCAACCCATCTCCTCTGGGGTTCCCCTGGCCCACCTCCACAGAGCTGCTCACCCACAGCCCCGTTTCCTGCCCCCCTCACCTCTACTGTGCTGAGACTCCTGAGGGGATGTGACCGTCCCACTCTCATCCAACCAGCCCACCTTCCAAGGCCTGAGCAGCACCTCCTTCTGAAAGCCCCTTCTCCACCCTCTAAGCCAGCACCCGGCTGCCCACACAGGCAGTTCTCACCAATGGGCAAGCCCAGAATGTGCTGGGGGGATGGCAGGGCAAAGCGGAACCGCCGGGTGTCATGGTTGATGTTCTGTAAAGAGAACATAAAGCTGTGGGTCAGAGGGGCCACCAGACCTCGGCCCCTCCCCAGTGCCCCCAATGTCCTTGCCAAGAGTGATGCTGAGGCTGCTGAGCTCCAGAAAGAACTCCGTAACCCTGAGGAGCATTCAAGGAGACAGCATGCGGCTGCCCTGGGGAGAAGGGAGAAGACATGGACTAGCATCAGGGCCACCCCTCAGGACAACAGGCAGACACCAGGCCCCAAAGCTGCCTCCTCCAGGAAGCCTTCCCTCTCCAACAAAGAGCCCCAAGGGCTGCTGGGAGCAGATTCTGGGATCATCAACAGCTCCTGAAGTTTGAGGTCAGAAAACCACATGCCAAGCTGTTTGGGGAGGACGAAGAGATATGATGGAAAGAGTGGTCATTACTGAGCCGGACAGCCTCTAGAGGCAGCCAGGCAATTGTTGTTGTTTGGTGCCGTCAAGTCGGTTCGGACTCTATGGTGACCATCAGCAAGAAGCACTGCCCAGTCCAGCGCCGGCCTCATAATCATGGCTGTGTCTGAACCCACTGCTGCAAGTCACTCTGTGACTCCAGCTCATTAGGGGTCTTGCTCTTGTTCACTGACCCTCCACTTTACAAGCTTGATGTCCGTTCTCCAGGGACTGGTGCCCGGCAAGACATAGCAAAAAATTTAAAAGCTGGTCAGCTGGCTCTAACAGTGGGCAAGGATGTTGTCTCTTCTAGGACATCTGCTATGGAGTATGAAAAGTCTGGGATGACCCAGATTCTCAGTCAAAGGGGACTGGGGATTCCAGGACAAGAAATTCCTTTGATGAAATACTAATCGATCACCAAAACTAACAAAGCAGGTTTGGGGTTAGATAGGAAAACGTATCAACACTGCACAGCTGGGTAAAAAACATGCATGTTATTAACTATAGATGAATATACACATACCTGTACACCTCTGTCAACTTCTGCGTAGCACTCAGTTTGTACTCTATTACAAAGCTTTAGGGTGGCGGCTCAAACTCACCCCATGGTGCCAGTAAAAGAGAGGTCCCAACAACCCCCTTCCAGAAAGCATACAGCCGAGAACACCCCATGGAACAATTCTACGCCATCACGTGGGGTGGGTCACTGTGAGTTGGAATCAACTTGATGAGAATGGATTTCTTGTTTTTCGGTCTGCTGCCACCATGTCACATATGAGGGAGCTTCCAAAAGTTTGTGGAAAAACGGAATGAAAAGATAATGGAATTTTTCCGGGAACTTTTTGAAGCCCCCTTGTATATTAGAATGTGAAGCCTAGAACAAGGTTCTGGGGGTACACTCTGACCCTCCGCTCAAGGGGAGGAGTATGTGGCAAGACGGGGATGAAGGGAACCTCACACTTCACAGACAGAATGTTTATGGTGGCAAATATATGTCATCTGTTACTTTTGCAATTAAAAACAAACAAGAAAAAGAGCTTTTAAAAGGCAACTTCCAAGACACCCTGGTTTCAGTTTAAGAAGGAAAGGTGCATGGATGCACGGCGCATGTTCATTCACACCGTGGGGAGATGAAGACACTCTCCTCAGGGAAAGGCTGGTTTTCATCTTTTCTCACTACTCTGGTTTCAATTTCTGCAGCACAGCAAGGCCCAAGGTCTGTGCCATAGAGCCCCCAAGGCCATGGGAAGCGCAGGTCAAACATGTTGACGCGGGCCCGGGGGAAGTCCAGGGTCCAGGGCCTCAGGTGGGTGCCTTTGTCTGCTCTGTGACTCAATTTCCCCGTCTACACTCCTCATGGGGGCCAGGAAACAGAGTGAGGGGCTTTTCTTTTCTTGCCGGTAGCACTTGCGCAATTGGCGAACATTCCTAAAACCCACCTCCCTATCTTTAAGAAGCATGGCCAGCATGAACGCCACAGTGACAGACACAGCACTAGAAGGGCCAAGGTTCTCTCTATGCCCAAGCAAAGTGGTATCAAGACGAGAGGTCCAGTGGATGCGGTGGATAGACTACGCTCATTTTCCAGAAGGCTACAACTACAAAGGAAGATTGTAATACAGTGTGACTCTGTTGGGCCCAAGTGTAAGCTAAGAGAATGCTGGCTACTAAGGAACACGAGCATTATGAAGAGAAAGGGTCAGGTGATCCAGTTCTAAGCTTCATCTTGTTTTATTATCAAAGTAACAAAATCTTGATGTTATGTTCAAAAAATTCAAAACACAAGAGAAAGAGATGGAGCGAAGGAGGGAGTCTAATGAGGGAAGGTGCAGGCGAGACAGCCCTTACTGGCGGCAGGGCAAAGGGGACAGAGGATTGTTTTCAATCACATCAGGCGTTAAGTGGGGCAGACCAGGGTAAGCATCCCAGCTGGGGCAGCAAAACCCACTAAGGACTCTGCCCAGAAGAAAGAATGCTTGGATCACCAAGTGCTGTGGGCAGGTGACGCCAGATAAGGAACAGGGAACAAAAGGTGGGTGACCCTTATCCCCAAAGAACTAGGCACTTAATGAGAAACATGGGGGGGCCTGGACCTCAGTCCCTGACTCAGTGTGACCTACATTATCCCTACTCCTCTCAGACCTGCTGCTATATAGGAATCTGGTCTCCCAAATCAGGAAGGGTCTCCTCCCCTCTCACCTTCTATGGGAGAGTGAGGGTTGCTCAGAGAACAAGTCCAGCAGTCAGAGAAACCTAGGTTCAAATCCCACCTCTTCCACTCACTGGTGGCCCTGACTGACAACATTGCCTTACTTTCCCCATCTGGATAAATAGTAGGACCAGCCCAGGGGGGACAGTGCCGAGAAAGGCTAAGGACTGCAATGTTGATGGAGAGGAAGAAGCACCACCCCCAAGTCCTGCAGGGCTCGAGCACGCACTCACCTCCTTGTCCACAAGCCGCAGTGGATACTTGATGTCCGGGTTCTCAAGGGTGATGGCTGGGGTGGAGCGGTTGCACAGCTTCATGAGCAGACTATAGAGGAACCAGACCGGGGAGAGCGCGACCTGTCCCAACTGAAGCAACAGTGACATCAGGGAGGTGAGACGGGAGGGAGAAGCTCCCTGGCACTAGCCCTTCTCCCCACACCCACCAGCTCCAGCTCTCCCCTGGGACTCTACCATCCATTCTGGTGCCCACCGGGCAATTACCAGGAGAGTCCTGGTGGCACTGTGGGTTAGCTGTTACGCTGCTAACCTAAAGGACAGCAAGTTCAAACCCACCAGCCGCTCTGAGGGAGAAAGATGAGGCAGTCTCGGTAATCCTATATAGGGTGGCTCTGAGTCGGAATTAGCTCCATGGCAGTGGGTTTGGCGCAGTTACAAAACCCAGCCTCCTGAAACTCATCACGGCGGCGTGTCTCTGCAGACACCACCCTCCAGCTCACTCAGCCTTGTGAGAGCAAGTGCTTTCAGGGCGAACAATTCGGAAAAGTTCCACTGTCCCTGGGGAACGGGACAAAGAAAACTGCTTTCTGAGCAAGGATCCCTTTTTCACTTTGGCTGCCAGGAAGCTCAGAGGAAAGTTCACCAGTAGGGCCATCAAGAGATTAGAGCATGAGCAGGCAAGGGATCCTAACAAAAAAACAAAACAAAAACCAGGCGACAACAGAGATGGTGGCAGAGGCAATGGCACAGTAAGCTATAGCAGCCGAGGACTCTAGGCCCATAGACTGAGAAAGGCAGTGCACCTCAGGGCAGGAGGCGGGCTTGCAAAATATGCCTTTCAGACATTTAATCGGATATATATTTTCAATATGGTACATGCACATTTTTTTTTTTTAAAAAGGTGGTTATCATCATTAGGTGCTGTCACGTTGGTTCCGACTCATAACAACCCTGTATAGGATTTCCAAGGAGCAGATGGTGAGTTTGAACTGCTGACTTGAGCTTCAAGCCGACCTTGTGGTACAGTGCTTTATCCCATGTATGTGAAAAAAAAAAGTGTAATAGAGATAAACATGGTAAATACTGCTAGCTGATGGTGCATGGATGGGATTGTCAGCATTGGAATGGTTTACTGAACGCATAACTGTCGATCTGCCTTGTAATCCTCCACTCAATTCACAATAAAAGCTTTAAAAAAGACAAAAAGTTCACAAGTAGCTGCACTTGGGCATCCTCCCCACCGTCCTTCCTTGGTCCTACAAAGTGAACTCAAGTCCTAGCTCTGTTTAGATAAGCAGACAAGCACCATAACTCAGAGCCCAACTATATGAGAGGCCTGCCCAGACCAACTGCTTCTCTGAGTGGCTGCTCTCTTCCCTGAGCCCATTACCATGGTAACAAGCCAGTGAGGCAGGGTTAAACGGAGTCATTCTCCACAAATGATGAAATTAGATACCTGAGCCTTCAGGTCTTCGAGACTGAGGGGCAGCTGAGGCCCTGCGCTGGGCCTTGGGAAGCTTTGCTCTAGGCTAATGTGTGACCCTGGGCAAGTTTCTCATTTCTCTGATGTGGATTGAACCAGGTGAGGAACAATGCCGTCCAAAGCTCTGCAACCCCAGTGCCTAGAGGAGTCACTGCAATCCTAGGTACTGTTGCTGTCCCACTTTACAGATGACAGAAGTGAGCAGAGTAGGAAAGTGACTCACCCAGGATCACACAGCTAGCAGGTGGGGCGCTGGGATCTGAACCTGAACCTACCTGCTTCCCAAATCACGCTCTTAAGCATCAGGCTCACGCGGGTCCTGAGGCGCTTCTGCTTGCCAGCCCCCCGCTCCTTTGGTTCCCACCAAGGCCAGGTCTCACAGAACAGCACCAAAGTGGACTCCTGCCTGGCCCGGGGCCTCTATCCTGAGGCAGGTCACGTAGTTTCTCTGAGGGTTTCCGAGTCCCTACTCGCTGGGGTTGTGAGGAGCAAAAACTAGTCACGGATGGCGCCTGACACAGGCCAGGTTCTGAAGGCCCCCCACCAAGGCTGGCTCCCCTCTCAGCCCTGGAAAGGCCCCTAACCACTTACAGGGCACTGGCCATAGCAGTGGCCACCAGTGGGCAGCATTGCCCAGCTAGACCACCAGGGAGATGCAGGAAGCTGCCACAAACGTTCTCAAGACAGTACAGGCTGCTCCACTGAGGAGGGGCTGACAGGCCCTGCGGAAACCCACCCTGGAGCACCACAGTGATGAAACCCTGCCCTGCAGTCCTCCAGCCACCCCATGCCTCCGCCATGATCCTCCCACCCCGCCCAACATAGAGCACATGGCTCCCCGCTTTGTGGGCCTCCCGGCCCTCCCATGATGCTCCTACCCTACCTAACTCCACATACACTGCGCACACAGCCCCCATGAGCCTCACCCCACCCCCAGTTCCACACACACAGCACACAGCTCCATGGTCCTCCCCCCACCAACTCCACACCCAGAGCACAAAGTGCCCCCTTATGGGCGTCCCGCCCCTCCTAACTCCACATACACAGAACACACAGCCGCCATGGTCCTCCCACCCATCCTAACTCCACACCCAGAGCACATAGTGCCCCCACCACGTGATGCTCCCATCCCTCCCAACTGAATGTCCCAGGACACAGGCCTGGGAAACAAGGACATTCTTCACAATGCCACAAAGGGAGGCTGAGAGCTGGTCCAGGTAAGAGGCCACAGAAACCAAACGGAAGGGAACGCCTCGTGAGCCACATGAAGTCTTGGATGAGGTCCCAGGCAATAGAGGGGCAAATGACGAAACGTAAGGTTTGCGGATTAGTGTCAGCGTAGCTCTCTTCTGTGGTTACGTACGAACGAGAAGGGCCTTCTCTGGGTGGTTGTTGTTATTACGTGGCTTTGAGTCAATTCTGACTCACAGGCAGTCTGGTGCTTACTGTATGGAACCATGGCGCTCCCTAGGAGATGGGACACAAGGATTTAGGGGCAAAGAGGCATTGTATCTGCAACTTACTCTCAGGGGGTCCAAGAAACTACACACAGGCACAACTGAAATACACAGCCATGGTGGCAGGCACAGTGACAGGACACAAAATGTGTGTAATTGTTGAATGGAAAACTGACTTGCTTCCTAGACCTTCACCCAATTCACAATATTAAAAAAAACAACAACACATACAAAAAGGATTATATACACACAAACATATATACAATAGTGATTAAGTAGGTGAACTCTGGAGCTCCTTGTACATTCCTGCAACTTTTCTGTAAGTTTGAAACTATTTCACAATAAAAAGCAGGGGTTGAGGAAAAGCCCAAACTAGTGTCCAGAGATTGCAAGGTTAACACTAGATGCTCACATACCACATTGGTTCCAGAGAAAGCTGGCTTTCCACCTCCTTCACTCACCCTCTCTGAGTTTGGTTCTCTTGACAAATGACCTTGTGTGTGTTTTCTTCTTATCATAACCCTAAATCCCCTTTTTGCTGTGGCTGCCAGGAAGCTCAGCTCAGAGTCAAGTGCCTTGCTTCTTCTGCAGACATCTCAAGCAGCATATTCTGCAGTGCATCACCTGAAGGGGTCTCTGCTTTATTCAGGGGTGGGGTAGATGTTCCCCACCTCTCAAGGCCCAGTCGTGTGGCTCCCCCATCCTGAAAGCCCTGCTAGGTTTCCCCACCCCCTCAACCTGGAGCGAGTGCAGCCTGGCTGCGTCTCCATCTTCCCTGACCTATGAACTCCCCGAGCTGGAAGTCAGGGTCCATCCCTCCGGGCCTGCAGTCCCTGAGGCCTGGGATGAGCTGGACACACAAAAGGTACCCCCATCAGTGCCTGGAAGCCTCTGCTTAACAACTGAGGCGTCTGGCGTCCCAGCCCTGGGTCTGAGTGTAGGAAGGAGGGGAACGACCACTGCTCATGAGACAAGACACAATGGGGGCCCAGGCCACAGAAGTATGGGCCCCTCACAAAGGGGTGTGTCCTGCCACTATCAAGGTCATGGTCACCTCGTGGGAGACAGAGTAGCTGGGAAAAGGGAGAGGCAGAGCCCACACTGCCTGGCCTCAGGCCCCAAACCAGCCTGGCAGCTTTCAGCTTGTCCTGAGGTTACAGGGCCTTTGTTGGGCTCAGAACAAAGTGCCACTCTCCCAGAGAGGAGACATGGGTGTGACATGTACCTAAAGGGAAGGTCTGGCCCCGCCCCCACCACAGCCCAGGACACAGAGCTGGGTCTTAGTCACCATTCACTGACTCAGCACCGACCAGGTCCCGGTCCAGTGCATGCTACCCACTCTGGGCCTCATGTTGGCAGGCTCCAATTAAGGGGTCAGAGACCTGGAGCTGGACCTTGAGAGGGTCACCAAGGGGACACTCCATCTAGGACTGGGGGCGAGAGGAGTCGAAGAGGCTGGAAAGGTCATGTGCAGAGCAGAACCACAAGCATGTCCCCCAGCACCTGCTCCCTGCCAGCCCTGCTCCAGGCGTGGGACACAGGTACCTCACACCGGGTCGAGTTACGTGAGTTACAGATAGGGAAACTGAGGCCAAGGAGGGTCAGTATCTTGCCAGAGACGCAGCAAAGCTAATCATGCAACAGTGTTGTATCTGTTTCTCAGAGGCAGAAGCCCGGCTCAGAGAGGTTAAATGGAGTCAGGACTCAGCTGCAGGCCCGTCAAACTGGCCCTCTCTGTGCCTCCATCATGTTGCCAGGGCCCGAATCCCACTGGTCCACCACTCTGCTATCCACCTTGGATGGTGACACCAAACCAACAGGTGGCTCCACCCCTCCTCAAACAACCACTATGGCTCCCCACTGCCCTCACTCAAAGCCACTCTTGGCTCTCTGCTCCCTCAATACTCTTGTGCCTTGTCTTAGGTCTTTACAGACCCTGGATGGAGCCCTCGTAGCTCTTGGCTGCTAACCAAAAGGTCAGCAGTTCAAACCCACCAGTGGCTCCATGGGAGAACGATGTGGCAGTCTGCTTCCTCGGAAACCCTACCCAGAAGTCCTACTCTGCCCCGTAGGTTTGCGACGAGTTGGTAGTAGACTCAAGGGCAACGGAGTTGATTAGGTTTGGATTTTAGTTTTCTTCCCCGAATACCCTTCTTCTGCTCTTGTCCAACCAACCAACTCTTATTCAT